CTCTGACTTCAAATCATCATAACTTCTTTGTTTTAACTCCGAATTGGTCAGCTATTGAGTCTAAATTGATCGCGTCGATATAAAATTTCCAATGATACTAATTAGAGCTTCAGATTCTTCTTGTGCCACAAGTTATTCAAGTTTTAGTAAGGTAGTATCTGTTTTTGGTTCGAACCGGGATAGGGTATCCCTTCCTTCGACTTCAGAACTTGATATCTTTGCCGTCCAGACCCCGAATCAAGTGATTCTTGAGTCTATCTTTATTAATTTTTCATTTTCTTTCAAATGGTGTGCACGGTGGCACCCATTTTAGTGTGGAATGACCATTTTGCCCCTAGGTTCATTCTTTTCCGTTTTTGAAACGTTGCTTCCGTATTTTTTTCCTTTGGGGTTCGTGACCTCGTTGAGGGTCACATTGGTGTCTTAGAGGAGCATTGTATCTCTAAAAACCATTGTTCTATCTTTTGATTCCGTATTTTGGATCCGATTTGGGTCATCACAGGACACACTGGGTTGAAAAATCCAGGGTCGTCACAATACTTGGATAATATGCTTAGACATTGTGTGACTTGTCTTAATATGGTTAGTATACTTGGAAATGTATGCTTGTATGTCGTGTATCATGTTTTAATATGGGTTAGTGTACTTGAGCATGTATACCTGGATGCCGTTGTTCGCTTGAACTTGCATGGGTAGCTTAGGATGCTCCCCGTGTCTCACTTGATATAGACGTTAGGTGGCATGAGCCCCTTTAACATGTTTCACCATAAATGTGATATAATTGTAAAATGTTAGGTCGATGCATGCTCATTTTCTATGAGTAGCTTTATGTTACTCACCCCTACGATACTGGGGCATATTTCAGGTACAAGAATTAAAGTTGAGACTCCCATTATACTTAGATGACTTGTGGACTTGAAGATTTCCATTTTGTGAAGATTGGCTTGAAATGCCTTTATAGCTTTATATGTCAAAATGTGTATATTTGATTCCATTAATGTAATGTGTACGTAAGTACACTCTTTGCAATGTATTTGACATGTATGAGATGAGGCCAAGAGCCATTAACATGAAAGACTACAAGCATGTTCTCTTTAAAACTCAAGTATTGCCATTGTAGCTTATTTGTGAGAAATGGAGGCTTTGTATGCTAAAACTTGTTAATGGAATGTAAAGAGGCTTTAGGCCATGTTGGTGCATCTATTTTATCATATTGCATGTACTTGCATACTTACTTTGGCAAACAATACCTTCCTTGATGAAATAAAAACTCTAAGTAGCATTTTTAGTGAGTTTTACCCTGTTCTATTTTAGGGGCATTTCGGGTATTTCACAATACGTTTTTTTCATTTTTCCTTGTGAGTCACGTAGAAAACTCAATTTTGAGGGGGGTTTCTTCTTTGTGTTTTTCCAGAAAACATCATTTTGGCCCTCAAAAATCAATATTTTTCTGAAAAATCCTTGCTGCCAGGTTTTACAAATTTTTAGTACAAATGTAGTTGGTACTATTCATCGACTTTTTTTTGAAAATCGTCACGACCGATCCGAAACTTCTGGAGGTCATGTGGGTGTATTTTAAGATTGCATTTTCAATTTAGGCAATTTAAAAACCTCTCGAAGCCCTATTTCCAAAACTTGGGCAGTAGTTCGGATTATTTTTTTTCCTCTTGAGTTGATTTTTCTTGGGGGCATTCTGGGCATTTTAGAATGCATTTTTTTTAATTCCGTCCGTGATCGGGGTAGGAAACTTAATTTTGGGGGGGGGGGGGGGGGGTTTCTTCTTTAAGTTTTTCAGGAAAAGTCCGTTTAGATGCCCGTTTTTACTCTCAGTTGCAGCAGTAGTTGGTTGACGGCACTGTAGCTGTCACGACCTTCATCGGGTCGCCGCTACGTCGATTTTGTTTTTGACTTTTCTCCCTCATCCGGACTCCAAATCAAGTGAATTTTTTTTTTAAATTGATTAATTTTTCATTTTCTATCCAACAGTGTGTTCGGTTGCACCCATATATTTCTGGATAATTACCAGTTTACCCTTTTAGCTTTATTGCTCGTTTTTCTTTGTTTTGTCGTTTCTCCTTCGTCCGGAATCCGAATAATGAAATTCTTGAATCCATCATGATTAGTTTTTCATTGTCTTCCCAGTGGGATGCTCGATAGCACTTGAATTCATTTTTTTACAAAATGACCATTTTGCCCCTAGGTTCCTTTTTGTCCGTTTTTGAAACGACACTTCCGCATTTGTTTTCCTTTGGGTTCCATGACCTCATTGTGGGTCACATTGGTGTCTTAGAGACGCATTCTATCTTTAGAGACCGTTGTTTCACCTTTCGCTTCCGCATTTCGGATCCGTTATCAGGTCATCTTTTGGTCATCACTGACGCACCGGGTTTACAAAACTTGGACTGTCATAATATTAGTGAGAGAGAGAGGGGGAGGATATGGGTAACGGAGAGCCAGTGGCGTACACAGGGATGAGGAGGAGCTTGACGACGGTGGCGGCAAGGGCGAACCAGATGAGGTCGGCGTTGGGTTATGATTTGGGTATTGGTTGTGATTTGGGGTAGCTTCGTTGCGCCTTTCATGGTTTGATCGGTGGGTACTGAGAAGAAAATTTGTGTAGTTGAGGAAGGATCAAGTTTTTAGGGATTGAGAAGGGGAGAAAGAGATGCGAAAAAGGCAAAAGAATTAAAAAGATGGGTTAAACCGGCAAATAGATGGGCAATGCCTATCTTAATAATTGATAGGTGTTGAAATTTTATGGAGCCACGTCAGTAGGCCTACACATGATGCAAGCATTACTCGTGCAGTGAGTCTCCAATGCCCAAAATATCTATCCAATTTTTTTGCGGGAAATTTTAGCGCCAAACATTTTGGTGGCACGTGAATTAAGTGTGAGAGATTTAACTTTACTCTTTTCTTAACACAAATCATATGTGCCCTGCCTTCTGTCAAGCTTTCAACGAAAGAAGCTCCTTTCTGCATACGAAATTCCAAAGATTATTTACAGAAAAGTAAACGAAAATCTTTCACTCGATCAATCTGTTCTCTTCCTCTCAAGATGAAGACGATGCCCTAGTTTATCATCATCAGATTGTAGGCTCAATTACCAGGTCTTTCTTTCTCTCTATATTTCTCTTGTTATATATATATTACATCCACGATTTTTAATTTATTATATAATACCTATTATATTAACGATGCATTATATATATATATATTTGGATAATGGGATTGTTAGGCAGATAAGTATTTTAATTTTAAATTTGGTCACGCGGCCTTATATACCACCATTTGTTGTGAGATATGTTTTTTGGGGGAACTGTCGCCTGGTAATAAAAAGTTTCTATATAGGAAGAGATTTAGCCAGAGAAGGAAGTTTGTGATTAATCAGGAAGGGAGTGGAATTTGAAGGGAGATCTTTTGGAGGAGATACAACCTGTGAAGAAGTAACAGGCAAGTAGATCTCTACTATATTTTAATTTTCATTGTTTAGTATATTATAGGCTAATTATATTTATTACCAAATATAGATATTAGTAAATTATTTGTGATAACAGTGCATAGCGTAACCATGAAATTATAGGTGAATATGCTGATATGGTTATACTTGCTAATATCTTGTTATTAATTGTTATAGCTATATTTGGTATCATGACAGATATAGAACTGAGGTGTGAGTGATAATGGATATATATATGTACACACACACATATATTGTTATACTTGTTCAAATTATTTCCTTATTGCATATGGTTAGATTTAACTCACACGTACATGAGCATAATTGTACCCAGTGTGTGGATCAGTCGCAAGGGAATTGTGATTTGGGCAATGACATCATCCTTAGTAAATTAGAGTTCTATTTGATTGGTACATTCCTGTACTTATCTAAGCATTTATATGCATATAGGTGTTTATATTATATAATTGAATTAATTAAATTATATGAGAATGGGTTAGTTGATGATTACATGCATCTGAACTTCTGAAATTGTGGAATGTGGGAGTTAGGTTGAGTATAATTTGTGTTCAAACATTTTCCAGAATCAGAATTCGAAACCAAAATATATCATTGATTTTGAAATTGAAATCAACTAAATTCAAGAAGATATTGAGGAATTCTAGTGAAAAATCAAACACATAAAATAATTTTAAAAAAATAAAAAGATCTATGAAATTAATTATATGTAGCAAATTACCTGAATTCAACAACCCATAAGCTGGTTTGCATGACCAATCTGAATTGATTAAAAATCATAACCTAGTTTGCTATGTTGCTTGCTTGGCCGGAAGCTTTGTTGTTGATGTTTAATTGTTTACACACACATATTAGTAAATAAAACTTTTAATTTCATTAGAAATAAATTCACGGATATCATCGGTATGGTAAATCAATGAGCATAAATATATATAACTTAGTAGAATAAAAAAAAAAATGGATGGATTCAATATAATCAAAATCACTGGACAATAATAAAACTTGATTGTAACCCTTAATCATGCCTCACTCTTACATCAGATTCATATTCTCACAATCATTGAACAATAAAACATATTGCATTTCGTGCTTGTGTATATAACAAAGTTCATGGCTTCAGATACTAGAGTATGAAAAATGACCGATGTATACATTTTTACTGAAATCAACTTCATATACTGATATGAATTTATCCTTAGATAACTAAAATCTATTTAAGGATTCTCTTATTGTTTGTATGAAAAATATTGCACTAAGAAGAAAATTCTTTCTAGGCACTCTTAAAGTGAATAGATAGAGCATTTCATTTTATTTTTGTCCAAATCTAACAGTAACCTTACAGCTCACATTATTCTTATTCTTCTTCCTCTCTCTCTCTCTCCCTCCTCATTTTTATAGCTCACTTTTGTTTTGTTACATATGATGTATATTTTTTGAAGTATACTTATTATGGTATGTTCAAGACTTGTAATAAATATTTATTCCATACTTGTTTGTATAATGAAATACTAACTTATGACAGGTTAATATGGCTGGATCCGATCGTCGGAGAGCGCCTACAACTATACTTACTTCCACATCTACTCCCACACCTGAGGCTGAGCATGTGACCACACCTACTGCCACACCCGAGTCAGAGCCTACTCCCACACAAACTCCCACATCTACTACCAATTAGTCATCGAGTACATGTAAGATTTTCTCATTACATTATTTTACAAGTTATGCTATTTTCACAAATTTGAAAAAAAGTATGGCAATCTACATTTGTATAATAGAGATATTTGATATTGTTGATTTTGTGGGGAAATTTAAATTTTTTATGCCCAGGTTTTCTCATTTGATATTGTTGATTTTGCAGCTTCTAGCACATCCAAAAAAGGGCGTGGTATCAGTCGGGGCGTAAAATTGATCGCATATAGGGCTAAAGGTGGTCTTAAACCACATATTACTTTCCCAGAGGGAAAGTATTGGCCCATGGTGGTTGGTCTAAGATTTTCGGGTTGATGGTGGGTGTTATATGTCGAGAGCATGCTCGTATGACTTGTGGGACTTGGTCACACATGGAATCGGCCGATAAGGCCACACTTTATCATCATATTCAAGTAATACCCTTTTCCCCCTTTTAATAATTTGTCATAGTTAGGAGGCTAAAAGCAAATACTTAATATACCATTTTAGAGTTATCTCTTGTTTGAAGAAAATAGAAAAGCGAAAGTAATTTGAATGTATTTTGTTGAATTATTTTGAATGCATTTTCCTGAATGAATTTACCATTCTTGCTTTTTTGTTTTATTTTATTTTATTTTTCTTTTGAATGCAGTTTGCTACGTTTTGCTGAATATTGTTTGCTGGATTTTGCTAGATTATTTGAAATGTTGAATGCATCTTGCTGCATGCTGTTTGCTGAATGTTGCTTGTTGAATTTTTTAGGTCCTGCTGCATGCAGTTTACTACTTTTTGTTGGGAATTATTGTTTTAAATTTTTACTTGTGCGCTTCACATCATTCAGGCGTGCGCCTCTTGCTTAGGCTCCAAGGGAATTATAGTGCCTCGGTGCACCTAGCACATTTAATAACATTGTGTTATTCAGATGATATTTTGAAACATGTCTTGTTTTTGAATTCTTTTATATACCCTAAGTTATTTAAGCAAGTATTCTTAACATATGTACTTTATTTCAGGACAATTTCGTGATTGATCTTGACAATTCTCGCATCCGAAATGGACTTGACAAATGGCTTGCAGCTCGATTTCGATCACATAAAAATCGCATGCACATGCATTTTAAATCTTTCGGAGATGATGTAGAGAGGGCTAGGAGAAAGCCTTATAGAAATGTTCGTCCTGGGGATTGGCAAGCTATATGTGAAAATTTCATGACCCCGACATTCCAGGTACACTATTCTTTTTCTATTCATATGGTAATTTTATAATTGTAGGCTTAGGTAGGTAATGACAATTCATTAAACTAAAATGCAGAATAAGAGCGCTGTCAATAAAGTAAACAAGGCAAAGAATCTAACAAATCACCGTGGTGGCTCAAAACCCTTTGTCACACTTCGCTATGAAATGGTTATTTCCTATGTTCTATTATATTTTGTAATTAAATAAATTTACAAATGTAAAATTAATAATATTTGGTTATAATTATCTTAATTGAAATAGCGAAACATGGAAACAGAAGAAGAACCAGACATGGTGACATTTTATCACCGAACACACTGTAGGGAGGATGGGACATGGGTCACCCAACATTGTCAGGGTCTCTATGTATGTATACGCATAACTGGTAAATTTTAGTTTATTTTTTTTTGTATTTATTAATCATTTACGTACCAATTTGTATGGATATGCAGGATAAAATGATTCAAGAGGTCAATTAACAAGAAAATTCGGATGGTGTATCCAGTTCCTCTACACAGTTGACCCGTAACGAGATTTACATTCAAATAGTTGGTTCAACCTCGTCGTATGTTCGTGGGCTTGGTCATGGGGAGATGCCCACTGTCTTTTTATGGGGAAGTCATGAAGACGTTGTTGAGGCTAGGCGTAGTGCTGATGAAGCAAATCGAAGGGCTGATGGGGCTGATGAGGCAAATCAAAGGGCTGAAGAGGCAACACAAAGGGCTGAAGAGGCAAATCAAAGGGCTGAGGCAATAGAACAGCGATTGGGGGATCAAATCAACTTGTCCAAGGTAACAGAAGAAAGAATGGGGGACCAAATAAGCTCTTTGCAGGCTCAACTCACATCTTTACAGCATTGGTGCAGCAAGCTTTAGGGGGCTCATCAACTGGGGAGGCTCATCGTCTTGCTTAGTAAGTTAAATTAAATACTTTACTACAAACACTGAATTTGATATATGCTAGAATGCATTTTTTTTTTGTTATTAGAAGGATAATAGTTTTGTTTACTGGTCGAGGTATTGGGAAAATTGTGCATGTGATTCTTTGGTGGTGATTGATTATGCTTGGATGGTTGTTTTTTTGTTTTAGTGTCAGTCTGGTAGGCTCTATTCAGGCAAGGAACCCACATGCTGCCCTTATCTTGAATCAGATTCCAGAATAAACAACACTTAGCAACCCAGTCATTATGTCTCTCTAAGTTCTAATTTTAGTTTTATCTTTTTCAAAATACTTGAATGAAATATACTGTTGAAATTAATTAGTTAACAATAAGGTACTTTTCTATAGTTGATTGCCATAGAATTGAAATGCTTTTCCATTAATTAGGTAGCAAAATCACCTCTTCCTTCAAGCATTCAATTAAAGAGAATTCTAATTAAATAATATGTAGCATGATTGTATCTAGAGTACTTTCCTAAATTTTAGCTCATTATACTTATTTCTTGTGCATAAATATCAAATACTAAACTACAAGCATTGATGTTCTTTTGTGTCCATTAACTGTAATGCGTGGTGTTTGTGATCTTGTTACATATATAGTCCTAGTTATGCACATGGAAATCCTTGAGCCTATTGACCGCTCATGCATTGTTTTAGAATTGGAGTCCAACTTTACCTACCTCTTTGTTTTTGAGTAAGTGATTTGAATAATTGAATGTAAACCACAATTCCTTTTATTTATATTTGGTAAGTATAATTAATTTACGTTTTCTTATCATTTTTCTTATGAAATTAGGGTTTACTGTCAATAAATATAAATAAATAAATAAATAAATATATATATATATATATACACACGCACACACAAATTATCTTTCATAAGTTTCGCTAACATCCTTGGGAGTTGCAACTTCAGATGGGAACTTGAGAACATTTTCTAATAGCGAAGCATAAACTTCAACAGTTTCTTGAACCATTAAGTTTTTACAAGAATATTTTCCAAGCAATGAACATTGTGAGTTAGAGGTGATAATCTTCCCTTTGATACCACTCGCAATACAAGATCTGTTACAACCCCGATATTCTTCCTTGGGAAAAGATAGCTATTCACCTTGTCAACAACCTAAATGTTATGGCCATAAGAATAATAAATGAGTTACAACAGGAAGTTTTAAGACATTTTCATTATTATAATTGGACATGTCATAACCTTCTAGAAAGATTGGAGACCCATATTTTTAAAGAGTTGCTGCACATGAGATCTCTTAAGGCCAAATATTTAACCTTCCAGAAAGCCTTAGACACATGATTTAGAGAAGGTTCACTCAAAGTGCAATCAGAAATTCTAAGTAAAGTAGGATCTGCAGATAATTTTTATTATGTCTCCAAAATAGATGACTGGAAGAAGGTTCACTTAAAATAAAATATTAGATTCTAGTGAAAATTAAGGCATGACAGTATCTCTTTCATAAAGTCTCCTAAGCCTTATAATGTTGGCCATCAAGAAACTTGTCTATAAATTAGAGCATACTTTTGAACTGATAATTTGATTTAGACCACTGGGGGGAAAAAAATGACATGGCTGAATGAGAAATGAATGTATTTAGAAAAAGCTATAGCAGCAAATCCCGTTGGAAAGGGCCACATTCTTTAAAAATATTGTATCTAAAAATTAAAAAGGGAAGTAAGCTTGATCTGTCTTGCCACTTAATTGAGTCCAAATGAAAATTGTGATGCAAAATTAAGTGAAATTAAAGTGTCTACTTCCTCTCTTGAAAAGAAAAATAAAAAAACTAAGTTTTATAAGTTAGGCTGGTACAGTTAACACCTAAGCTAAGCAACATGGGTATGAGAAAATGACAAGGAAATGGTAAACCAAAAGGGATGTGGTGACTGGGTTCTTGGCTTGTATATGGGTCGTGAGGTCATCAATGAGTACAAAGTGGCCTTTGGGGTTTTATAAGTCTTATCCAATTTATCTTAACTTTTTTTAATTATTTTTTCATTTTTTGTGGGTGATTTCCTTAACCCCATCTCTCTTTTTAAGATGATATGTCAATATTTAGCTATCTAGTTGTTACACCTTAATTTGTAATTTTCAAATCTTCAAATAAAAAAATTAACCCATTGATGCACCATTACTAATTAAAAAGAAGGTTCTTACTCTTATAAATTAGCATTTTCCTTTTAATGTTTGATCAAAATATCATGGTGCCTGAAACAATCTCTACTTGTTCTTTACTTTTTCATGGGTACCAGAAAAGAATTACATCTTGTAATTCAGAAAAAATAAGGGAAATTGTTGGGATGTAATACTGATGAATTGTAAGAGGTATATCTGAAAGCCCAAACAACTAGATTGGCTGTTTAAATATCTATAAGTAGGTTCTTTACTTAATTGTCTTGAGAAAATTAGGCATGTGATTCTTTGGGTGGTGATTGGTTATGCTTGGGTGGTTGTTTTCTTTTAGTGTTAGCCTGCTTAGCTCTATTCTTGTTTTATTTTTAGTGTGATTGATTATGCTTGAGATTTGATTGGAAATGCCGAAGATTATCCGTTACATTAGAAATTCTACAATGGATACTAAATTAAAAAATTATAAAATGCAGCAAGGTCAAAAGCAATTTTAAGGTTCTCATAATTATTTTGGGCTAATTTTCAGCTAGCCAATTAAAGAACCAATTAAAGAACCATGTGTGCTCACATAAAATTAGAGAAATATCACAATCTTCATCATTACACCATTAGCATGTGTGTAAATTTATATTGATTGTGTGTGTGTGTGAGAAAGAGAGATGGTGTTGATGGTGATGGAGAAGAAGATGAAGCCAAAATAGGTGTCCATTTTCTAAATTAAAGAGTAAAGTTAAGTGTAAAAAGAGGAAGAAGAGAACCGAACCCAGAAACACCTACTGCAAGTCCATCAATAGTTGAAGACCAGACATGTTAATGTATTTGTAATCATTCCAAACATGTTGACTTTTGTATTAACGTGAATTGTCTAAGATATTTTTTTGTGCTTCTTTAATAATTGTTTGTTATCTTGTGGTTTGTTATTTGGTTTGTATTTTTGCATTCTTAGTGTGTAAAAAAGCCTTGAAATTATGAGAAGACCTTGTAGAAACTTAAATTTGTTGTAGTGGTTTGAACTAATCATAATTTTTCTATGTTTTTTGACAGATTGCATGTGGTTGGGATTATCTTTTTGACTTTTTGTTGCAAGACCCAGTGGCTATATTTTTTTTTGTTTCATTCGGCTCAAAACAAACTCACTTTTGTACTTTTGGTTCTTACAAGGGATTGTATTTATGGATCTCCCATCTCCCCATTGTTGGCAGGTTACATGTAGATGATATTATATGTTTTTTTTGTTTCATATGGGCTTAGGAAAAATTCACTTATGTTTTAACCAAAAAAAAAAAATTTCACTTATGTTTTAACCAAAAAAAAAAAATTCACTTTTGTACTTTTGGATCTCCCATCTCCCTATATTGTTGGATATAGGTTTAATCATTCTCTATGTATATGAATCTCGTCTTGATCCCATATTTGGAATATGTATGGATGATTGGATATATGAAATAGTACTTTACCTTTTCATTTGTAAAATATTAGATTGTATATTTTGTAATTGATAATTGTTTAATTGACATGTTTGGTATTATTGAGAAAAAAAGATGTCTTATAAATTAGTTTATTTAGAGGAAGAACAACATTATTGAGAACAAAAAAAATAAAAACTAAATTATGATTTTTAATGCATTTATTCACAAATTATAAAAAATTGGCAACTAAAAATATTTGTTGTTAAATATTAACACTTGTGACAAAGGTAGTTTTGTTGTAAATTGCACTACATGAGGTGACAAATATATTTTTGTTGCAATTGTTTTATCTCTTTGTGACAAATTCAATTTTGTTGTAAATAGATATATTTTTTAGAAACAATCTAGTTTTGTTGCAAATAGGTACATTTTTAGAAACAATCTAGCTTTGTTGCAAATAAATACATTTTTTAGAAACAATCTAGTTTTGTTGCAAATAGATACATTTTTAGAAACAATCTAGCTTTGTTGCAAATTATTGTATATTTACCAACCAAATTCCTTGCAATGGAGTTGTATTAAGCAACAAATTTGTAGATAAATAAGGACAAATTGTTTGTCGCCAATTGTCATCTCTTTAGGGACAAGTAAATTTCTTGTTGCAAAAGATTAATCTTTTAGCAACAAAAGTCTTTTACCAAAAAAAGTCCTTGGAATGGAGTTATATTAAGCAACAAATTTTTGGAGAAATGGAGACAAATTATTTGTTGCTAATCGTTGTATCTTTTGTGACAAGTAAATTTTTTGTTGCAAAAGATTAAACTTTTTGGGACAAAAGTTTTATTTGCGTAAAACCTTTTGTCACGAGCTTATAGGGACAACCTCAAAACAAAATTTTTTTGTTGCAAAAAGTTTTTTGCAACAAATTGTCCGTATTTAGTGACAAAAAGTTTCATTGCAAAACACCAAATTTCTTGTAAGCTTTCTTGTATCTCCCAAATCCAACCACCCAAGGTATGGAATTTCATCTGAGATCACAAAAACCCCAAACAGATGAACAAAATTCTCATAACCTTCTTGTACCTTCACTTCTCCCCTTCGTCGCAATCATCATTACTCCCACAGTACTGCTTCCCTCCTACCATTAGCACCGCCGCGTTGAGTGTCAAGTTTGCGAACCATCTCTTCATATCAACCAAAACTCCAACTTTTGAGCTCCCCTTACTAACCCATAGCTGATACAGTTCTCTTATCGAAGTGTCCACCTACGGACCTCTTATGTGCTTGATCATCTTAATCCGTCGGTTAGACAGAAACTCAACCGTGGCTATCTTGCGCATCTCACGCCAATAAGGACTATAAGGTGCGAAGCCAAACAAGGCGAAGTCATAACCTAATAGCTTCGAAGCAGTTATGCTTGGCCGGGTGGAGAAGACTTTGTCATGGACAGTGAAACACTCTCTGGCCATCTCCCAGCTGCTGATGACTAGACTTTCAAGCGAACCGAGCTTTAGAGTGAAGGCCGGTCCATACTTTTCTGCCAAAGCTCCGAACAATTTGTGTAGTAGCTGACCACCAGCCAGGAGATGCAAGTGGCCTATGATAGGCAAAACACCACCAGCTTGAGGCACACCATGGCTCTTCCTTCTAGTAGATTGTTTCTTTGTGTACAAAAATACTAGCAGGATAACGAGGCCGGTGACAGAAGTCAGGAGGAAGGGTAGAAGAGGATCCATGATAAGAATGAGACTCAGTTTGTGTTAGCTAACTTCCATGTCTCTGGACTTATATAGTTCCTGAGGCGTACATTTTATTTGAAAAATAAGATCTGCTGATTGTAGCAACCAAGAAATTGTTCAACTTTATTATAGTCGTAGTTTTTAATGCTTTCATTTTCTTTGAAAGATCAGTGTAGTTTGTCCAAGAAATGACTCAGATGACTAAGTGCAGTGGAGGACGGATGGGGCCAGGGGTGGCCATGGCCCCCTATATTTTTGGCAAAATTTTAGTACTACTAGTACTAAATTATATATATTAATAGTCATTTTTCTAGTGTTGGGTCAGAATTTTTTTTTTTTGACTCTGCGTCATTGATTCATTGAATGTGGTTTGTGAATGAAATTACTTCAAAAAATTCAAAATGTAGTTAAAAAAAAAAAAACCATTTTATAGTTACTAATGGCGATTTTTTATATAAAAATTAAATCTTGTCTTTTCCAAATTCTAAAAAAATTTATATTTATGATTGGATAATGCTTAGCTGTTCACCAGTGAGTAGGGTAAAGCTACTCACCCCTATGTGGTCCAATAACAAATTAACACATCACATTTAATAATAAAATAATTCACACATTTTTTTACTTTCTCGGATCAATCAATGAATAAATTGTATATAGTGTTTTTAGGTATGAATTATTTTATTTTTAAACGTGATGTGTTATTTTATTATTGGACTATATAGGGTTGAGTAGATTCACCCTACTCACCAATGAGCAGCTAAGTATTATCCTTTATGGTTTACCTTATCATTAATGAATGTGGTTTGTGAATCAACTTTTTCTTTTTAGATAGATATGGTTTGTGAATGAAATTACTTATAACTTTTCAAATTTAAATAAATCTATTGCTTTAATAAATTCAAAATATAGTAAAAAATAATAATAATAATAATCATAACAACCATTAGTATGATAATCCTTATTGTAACATACTTTATTTATACACACACAGTCACACACACATATATATTATTTGTTATGATATGAATTAGAGAGAAGAAAAAAAATACGGTTAACAACCTCAACTGTTCTTAATTTGCTCTATTTTTTATTTTATATATATATATATCATCTATAAACACATGCTCTTAACGTAAAAAATAAACTAAAATAATTACAAATATTTTATTTTAAATTTGATTTTATATTAATTAATTTGGCCCCCAAATATTTTTTACTGACTAGGTGATCTCAGAAATTCTAGAAGATGTCCTCAAATTGAAAGAGTGTGGCAAGAGCCTTATTCAACATCTTCATTCAAAGTTTACAATTGCTCAGATACTAGTGTCTGCTAACCGTTCAAGAAAAACAAAGCCTAAGATTCGGATTGGTTAGATGCTTTCATTTTCTTTAAAAAATCATATTAGTTTGTCCAAGAAATTAATGACTTAGCTGACCAGGTGGTCTCAGAAATTCTGCATGATGTCCTCGAAGTCAAAGAAGTTGTTGGCAAAGAGCTTGGATACTAGCATTAGCAATGTGCTTTATTTGAACCATGCAATTGTTAAATCTATGTTATAGTACTTGAGCCTTCCATTTTCTTAGTTAAGACTTATTAGCACAAAATTTAAATACATGCTTTATTTGAACCATTTTCTAAAGATGCTGGTCCTGTGTGGTGATCCACATTCCCACATATGGCTTACCTATGGTGCAGATCTTCCAATATGTTCAAAAACATGCATTTTACAAGTCAATAGACATAAATAATACTGGTTATGCCTAGCAAAGACATCAGGCATCAACTATACTTCAAAGTTTGGGAATTGAGAAACTATACTTCAAGAGAGACTACAAGCTGTTCTCTAGACTGATTGCAAAAGCAAAAAATTTTCATATCAGGCAAGGAGGTTTCAAGTCCAAAAACCAAATCCTGATCACGAATTGGATTTAGTTCAGTGATTTAATTACAAGAAGAGCAATTCATGAGAAAATGTAAGTTAAAAGTTTCATGTTCATGCCCCAAATTCATAGCACTCTTCTTATGGTTTTTTCGGTCCTGCATGGATAATTTGTACTTGTATTTCTTTGCTTCTGCTTCTTCCTCTGTCAGGAAGAAACTCAAAATAAGCCCTCGTCATTTAACGCGATACTGTTATCTTGCAAAAAATGTAAAATATATATTTTGGAAAGATTGTGAAAAATATATATATTGTATATTGGCTAATTTCGTTGTCAAAACAAGTCCGATCGAGTTGTAATTTTTTGGTTCAAAATTTCAAGGTTGAAGATCGGATGAGGATTTGAACAAGTTCAAGTGTTCATGGTATACTACATTCCGAGATGACGAGAACAATGCTTTAAGAAGTTTTGAGAGGTAGTGAGAACATTTAGAAAGGGTTTTAGAAGTTTTTAAGAAAGGTTTTACGTTCTGTCCATCTTGAACTGGTTCAAGAATAATCGAAGAGGTTCAACATCAGCAGAATTGTGAAAAGTTCAAGTCTGGCCATTTTGAACCGGTTCAAAGGGGTTGAACCGATTCAAGAATCATGTCGATTCTTTGCTGGCTATCTTAAACCGGTTCAGTCCCTCTGAACCAGTTCAAGGCATCCTGATAGTTTTGGTAACTTACTTTTCTTTCTCTGTTTGATTCCTTTTTGGACTAGACTTCCTTCCAAGTTCTATGCATGAAATTTTCTATATTTTCAGAGGGATTAGGACATTCTAAATTCTATATAAACCATGATAGTTATCTAGGTTTATACATGGCTTTTGCATAAAAAATCCAGGTCTGTTAGAGAGCCATCTTTGAGATATATTTTTATTCAGAAAATCAATTTGATTTTTCTGATTTTATTTTTGAGAGTACACACATAAACACAAGAGTGATTTAGGAGTGTTGTTCTCTATCTCATCGGAATTGGAGCATAATCAAAGATTCAGAAATTTTGAAAAGTAGAATTCATTCATTCTTCATCAAATTCAGATCTAGAAGGAAATGGGTGAAGCGATCACACTTTGAAGGGGTTAGAGCATTCGTGGAGTGTTGTCTGATCTACTTGCAACTCTTCTACAGAGATCAAGAGTAAGCCTAAGGTCAAGAGCTATTGGACGGAAGAGTTGTAAAGCTAGGGATTGTCAGCAATTGGTTTTTGATAGGACGATAGGGTGTAAGACTGAGTCAAAGTTCGGTGTATTTTGCTTCAAACATATTGGATCGTTTATCTCAGGACTGCGCAGTCCAACGAGGTTTTCCCTATTACAATTGGTCTATTCTACCAATTGGAATTTTCTTGCTAAAATCCTGGTGTCACCTCTCAAACTCTATTTACTTTACTTGCACTTT